ATAAATGTGTTCTCAAGAAATGAAGATACCTTTAAACATTTTAAAATAACAGAACTGAAAAGAAACAAAGGTCAAGCCTATACTGAAAAAAGAAAAGATTACAATATTGCAACTATTTTCTGTCAAATGATTTATTTACCTTTTGTTTAGTGTATATTACCACAGTGACTGAATCTTGTGTCTGGAACCAGTCATAACTGAAATAAATTGAGAAAATTGTAAATTTTTCTTTTAAAAAAATATGTGCCTCCACAGGGATTTTTCTTGATGTGTGATTTTTTATTAAATATTATTTAATTGTCAGGAATAATCATAGGAATAATCTTAGGCCTCCTTAAACTGAAGGAAAACATCACAAGAATTCTGATAAACAAATAAGATATTGAGACTTCTATTCTATCTTACCATCCATTTATAGAAGTAAATGTAAATAAATTGATATCAAAAATCACTTAAACATAAAACTTCCAGTCTCGTATTCTTATTTTGAACTACATTAGGTAATACACTGTAACAATACATCAATTGTTTATGGAAATTTTCCAAGAGAGCAATTTAAGTACTGTGAACTGCAACTGAGTTGTAAAAACAAATAATTTGGCTTGACCGCTATTTATATAAACAATGTTTAATTCAAAGTATGAATCCTGACCGTATAAAATGGCTTCCTAGGTTCCTATACCCCATTAAGTTTTATAGGTAGAGTGGAGAATTAATTCTCAACCAAATCAACATTATGTGATCTGTTATGACCAGCAGACCTGTCTTGATGACTCTGAACCAATAGAAAACTTTAACACTTTGTGTCAGAGAACTAAACTAAAAATGTTACTTGCATCAGTCAATCTACAAATTGTGAGAATTAACCCCCAGATGTGGACAGTGGCTTGAAACTGTCTATATTCAGTTGATTGTCTGAAACAACTAAGCAATACTGGCATCATTAAAGGTGTATGACAGAAAACCTTGAACGTACTACTATATCATAATTATTCTGCAGCATCTGAAACAATGGACTACCATTGCTCAACATTTATACTTAGACTGATTTATCTTTTGGCTTTGAAGAAAACTCTTCCAAACAGCCCCAGATAGAAGAACCAAATATTTATCTATTCATTTTTCTGAAGCATACCCACAAGGCAGGAGAATGCTTCTGTGTAATAAGAATAATGCTTCTGAGCAAATGATAATAGATTTTTGCCATCCTGAGCTACCTACTCCAACATGAACATTCACAAGTCTAATTTTTTTTTAAAAAAATAATTATCCTTCCAAGGGACTTCATAATTAATCCTTCCAAGGGACTTCATAATTATCAACTCCAAGAGACTTCACAGAAATATTCATGCAGCTTTCTTGACAAAATGCAAAATGGTTTCCTGATGCCTTGTTTTCTTCTGACCTCTTAATCTATTCTATAGCGCTGGGCAATCTCTCACCCAAGCACTAGCAGACCAGACTCTGAAAAAAAAGTTAGGTTAAAATGGGGGGAAATTAATCTCTACAATATTGGCTGATTTGTTCCAATTACTAAATAAATTATATAATATACTTCTAATGTATTTTTAATCAGTCCTTCCTTAAAATAAATAGAATTCCACTTAATGCTGAAATATGACAATACCTGGGAAGTATTTCTTTGAAACGGTCATCCAAAACTTTTTTTTCTGGAAGTATACCTACAAAATATAAGAAGTACAGTAATGTACAATGGTTAACATTATTCTAGCATTAAGAATTTATCAGACTAAATTACTCCTCAGGACAGCAGGAAAAACAATGGGGAGAATATATTCCTGATTTTCATGAACAATGGAGTTAGATGAAAAATACTATTAATTTTGTTATTTATCATTTTGTTGAAATAATCATAAAAACTGATGGAGATGGCTACTGGAAATAATTGAGAACTTCCATTTTCGAATTTGTTTGTTTAATATAAATATTTGATTACACAATCCTAGCATAAAAAGTGGGAGGGACATCACAGAACACCTTACACTAAACTATTATTGTTATTTAAATTTATTATGACCACCCACTCCAAATGTCTTGGGTGGCCTTTTGGGTGGACACAGAAATGTCCAGAACTACAGAAATGAGGAAAATATTGGCTTGCAGGTCACTTTTTAAAAAGCCACAGGAAATGGAAAAACCTCGCCATATAATTTCTTTTTATATCAGATGAATCATGAGTATTTGCATATCAATTATGTTGTATGTTGTCATTTCAAATTGTAAATAAAACTTTCAATATGTACAGCAGATGCATATTCAGAAACATCAGAAGTCATTAACAAGGTTGCTAAACAATCCTCACTGAAGAACCCATAAAAGAACTTACGCATTCTGGAAAAGCAACTTCGACCATACAACAACACTTTTTTTGTGCTTGCACAAACTCTCCTGAGTAGAGGGGTAAAAAGAGCACTAGCTCCAGTACATGCAAGGGGGACACAGTACAAACCTCAATACTGGGTAATGATTCTACGATAATCAGCTAAATATAATTTTCAAAACTTATTTCAACATCTTGGATTTCCTTACATAATCCTCTTTAGTCTGGCTTGACTTTAATAGTGGTGGAAAAAAACCCGTACATTGTCATGGTGCATTGGGGTTGTGTGTGTCAAATAAAGATTCACTCTTAGGCGTTTCCGAGTCTTAAAATTATATTTGCATATTTTTCTTTTACTAAGATTATCATAACTAGATTATAAAAATCCAAACAACCATAAATCGGCAGCAAAGATAAATTATCAAGCGCTAATAAACATGTGTTGTTGAATGTGTTGTTGAAACTGCTGGCTAAAGAAACAGTTCTGGATAAGAAATAACAAAGCGGAAAAACAATTACAAAAAAATAAAAAAATCATTTTTATCATGTTGTGGGGAACTAGACAGCCTGTGATATATTATCATTTCAGTTGTGTCATAAATTCAGATATTTACCTAAATAGATGAACAGAATTATCACGGGTGGGATATTTAGCTAAATAGATCAACAAATTACCACGTGTGGGCAAAAGAACAGTGGAAGCAGGAGCAATTTCTGACTGGCTTCCCCACTGACTTTGCTTGTGGGAAGTTGGCAGGGAGAAAGTCAATGAGGAATGGTTGCAAGTTGCTTGGCTAAGTCTTCCCTACCTATGGTCATCCCCAAGTCCCTCTGCACTTGTGTCATGCCAGCTACTCATATACCCCTATGCACCCTCCCTAATTCATGCCGCTATCCTGCACATCATTCCTACGTGTACTTCACACACCCTGCCCCATCTACATTGTCTCTCCACACTTAAACCTTGCCACACTTCTCAGGCCCTCCCCTCGCACCCTCATGCACTGTCTCTAACCCTTACCTCTCCTCTTACACATCCTCTCATTCCCTTCCCTACCAGGCAGTAGCCACTTACCTGCCTGCTGGCCTTGGATTTACAACTTCCTGCCAGCTTCCCCAATAATTTTGCCTGGGGGAAGCTGGCAGGGAGTGTCAGAAATCATAACTGAGTTTAGATTTCCTATCGGCTTCCCCGTTGACAGGTGGGAATCTGTCAGGGAGCATTGGAAATAACAATCATGTGACTGTGGCTGACCAAAGCAGCACGGCATGTTGAAGTGGCCACAATTTTTCCAAATTTCAATCCAACAGAAGTAATGAGAGAATGGGAGTTTAGATTCTTCCTATAAGACCATTTGAGTGAACAAAACTGTTGCCCTATGATGCACCATTTCACCCAGTGGAAGATTACAAACAGACAAACCTACGCTTTAATTATTATATAGATGAAAGATAATAAAGGCAACCCTTTTCCTTGTGTTTGACATGTTATTAATATTAGTAGTATTATTTTTAACAAATTTTAATGGATTATTTTTACTGTAATGAAGTATTGTACATCATAAAAATGGACCACCTTCTATTAATAACTTCTTCATAACACCTCTGATACTAACATAAGCCATTTCCCCACTAGTAATTTACAAAGCATCATACAGCTGCTGTTCTTGTCCTTGTTATTGTTATTTTGGCATAATGAAGACTAAATGGGTCAGGAAGATGCTTTCAATTGTTAGTAGAAAACAACTGTAGAACACCTAGTTTCTGGTCTTGATCCTTGACACCATTTCTTTTTCTTTTGTTTCTAGAAGGACGCTAAAAGGAAAACTTCTTTCTTCCTCTTCCTCTCTAGAAAATGTGCAGTCCATAATCTAAGTCTGTGATTTAACCCAGAATAAATCCGAACATAAATACAAATCCAAAATAAACGCATTTAGAAAACAGCCAAGGACACTACATAAAGCAATACAATTGCCATGTTGGTTGCAGAAAAAGGTACCAGCAACATCAAAATTATTGTTCATTCTTACTGAAGGAAAGAAAACAAAGTCTCCACACCACAGTAAAATAACAAAATATACCACAATACTGTACATCCTCATTCACAGTAAAAGATGCTTCTATTTATTAACCACTATAGTTTTTTTTCAATGTAGCATGACCTGCTTTATTCTTTACAGACACTGAGGAATTTGATTAATTCTGGGATTCTAGTTTATTATAGTTTTTTTGATTTTGCAAAAGAATAGGAAAATGGTCATAATAAAATAGAAGAGACCAAAAGGTCATCTGGTGATTTTAGCCATGCTAAAACAAGTTTAGAAATAAATTTGGTTACTTGGCAATCTCTGGAAACTAACTGGATATTTACAATATTATTGTATCAGATTAAAAATTTGCACTTCTGCCTCTCTCTGTATGAATTACTGTAATACTAAAAATATAGGATACTTCAAGCTGACAGTTATGCCGAATTATCAATTCACCGCTACATTAAACAAATCAATGTATTTCAGAGCTACTCCATCCACAAGACAGTCCCTTTGTCTAATGAGATGCAAAAATCAGATTATAATGGCCTCCTTTTTCATTACACATAATCCTCGATTTACAATCGGGCACTTAACAACCTTTCCAAATTATGACAAACACAGGAAAGGTTACCTATAACCCATCCTCAAAGTTACACCTCACGTGCTCGCATTTTGGACCATTGGCACCTAGGTGTTCACACTTATAACCAGTTGCCAAGCATCCTTGTGATTGCCATTTGAAATTTCTCTGCTGGCTTCCCCAGAAAGTCAATGGGGAAGCTGGCAGGGAAGTTTTCAAGCTGCTGTTGCCTGGTAAAGGATTTGTCTCCCCTCTGTGAATTGAGGAGAGGGGATTCTTGCAGTGGGTTTGAGAAACAAAACCTGGATCATGAAGATCCAAGATTATTTTTTTCACCAGTCCAGCGTGGGAGTTCCCACCCGCCTTCAATGCACAGAATGAAACTATAGCACTGGGCTTACAGAACAGAAGCCTGGATTTTCAGGATCCAAGCTTTTTGCTTCAGCCCAACACTGGTGTTTCTCCCCTCCTCACCTCCATGCACAGAAGAGAACTCCAATACCGGCCTGAAAAAAGAAATTTGCATCCCGTATTATCCAAGTTTCTTTCCAACCTTTCTACAATTCAAAAACATCTAGGCTTCTAGACAGAAATGTTTCTGAATGGTAGAAAGACTAGTATATAGAGGGGAGGGAAACTCCTGTGGGGGGAGACCCCAAGTTTCCTTTCTCCGGCCCAGCGTTGTTCTCTTCTGCACATGGAAGAAAGAGTGGTAGACCAGAGAAACAAAACTTGGGATCTGATTTTCGTTCCTCTGATTCAACGCAGCTCTTTTCTGTGCACAGAATCGTCAAATTAAACTTTGATATGCATGTCTGCAACCCTTCCCATGCTCAGGAATATAATTTAGAACACAGGCATGGTTTAACAAAGGATCTAAAACATGCTCTGAATTTCCAGCCATTAATGATCTAATCGCCCAGTTAATGTAAAAGATATTTAAAATACCTCTGTAAAACAACTGCATGTTCTATGATAGACCAATATAAGCAAATAAAGTTATAACCTATTTAATAAACATTTTTTAAAAAAAATTGAGATCACTTATTTCTTGTTTCTTTAAAAATGCTGATGCCTTAACCAAATTTTGAATTTCAATCAAGATGAATATGTATCCTAGATAAAAGATATTTCTCTTGGGAAAGAATGAGTTTCTTGTAAAAGAAATCAATGTTAGGTATTAAATTGCCTAATTTAGAGAACATCTGTTTCCTCTTAGAAAAACATCTAAGTTCTTTTACATTCCAGAAAATGATTAAAATATGTCAAAAATACACTTTAAGCAGTTATTAGAATCATAGATCAAAGGAAAAAATAATTACTTATTACTTGTGATAAATGTTTCAAATAGCTGGAAATGAAGCATAAACAATCACAAAGGGGGGAAAAACTCTGAAAACTAAAAAAAGATTTTTCAAACCAAAGGAAAATACAATGAAAAAAAGGGAACTGAAAAAAAGAAAAACAAAAAAATAATAAAAACTGTACTTTAGGGATTTACTCCTCACCTACCGCAAGCCTACCCCAAGCCTATCTTCCTCTAGAAAAATACTAAATATTTCAATACTACCACTTATTTTCTTCAGTTGATTCTAAAACAATAAGCTTCTGTCCAATTTAATAAGCCACAGGAATCATTGGAAAAAGAAAAGAAATTACTCCATTTTTGTTTTATTGCTAAATGAATTTTACTGAATAACTTCTGCTTCTAAACCATTTGTGTAGGCAGTTATGAAAAAAAAATCATCTTTTTAAAATATTTCCTACCAAAGTTCCATTTGCTAAGAACCCACTTAGCAAGATATAAGCCATATATAAACCCATTCTATAAGATCTCAAAAATATATAAACCCATATTATAAGATCTCAAAAATCTCACAAAATAGGATTGGGAGTTTGTACTGAACAGAAACAGGTGTCTGTACAATAAGCACTTTTTATTTTATTGATTTATCAAATTTATCAAACTGCCCATCTCACTTTCAATTTTTAGCTTATTTTCGTTCCTGCTTCAGTTTTAAAAAACGCACTTATATTTCTCCATAAATACAGTTACAAACTAATTTTGCTCAACATTATAAGGAATATTTAAAAATCATAAATTTCTATCAACTGGGCCCTGTAACATCCTACTGAATGTCTTTCTTTTTTAAAACTGTTTCTCGTTCCTTTATATATTTCAAGTTGAGTCATCCTTGTTTTGTGTGAATCAATAATTAATGGGTTAGTGCTACCATTTTCTGACCTAAAATACCTCCTTCATCTCTGAAAAGCACTGTTTCACATAATGTAGTGAATTTTTTATAAATTCAGTTTTTTTCTAGAAGTCTATGTTTTTTTTTAGTTTACTTTATTGTCATTGCACCTCGTACAACAAAATCAAACACCATCTTCAGTGCACATCATGACTATGACCATGAAAATAAACACAAACACACATTCTTCACCCTCCACACATTAAATCTAAAACCCCTGACACCGCACCAACACTGCACAATACAGCAGAATTCAAAAGAGCTACTGCCCTGGGATAGAAGCTGTTTTTCGGCCTATTTGTCCTTGTTTTTATTATTCTGTACCCTCTGCCAGATGGTAATAGTTCAAAAAAAGGGTGCCCGGGATGAGATGGATCTTTGAGAATGTTTTGAGCTTTCTTAAGGCAGCGGGACCTCTAAAGCTCTTCCAAAGAGGGGAGAGGGCAACCAATGATCTTCTGGGCAATGACGTTAACCCTCTGGAGTGCTTTCCAATCTGCCATTGTGCAATTGGCAAACCATACAGAGGTACAGTATGTTAAAATGCTCTCTATAATGCAGCGGTAGAAGGTCACCAGTAATTTTTAATTCAGTTGTTGTTTTCTGAGAAGTCTCAGATAGTATAATCTCTGCTGGGCCCTTTTGACCAGGGCTGCAATGTGGGCACCCCAGGTCAGGTCCTCTTTTAGGGTAACACCCAGAAACTTAAAACTGGCCACTTGCTCCACTCGGTCTCCATTGATAAGCAAGGGCTAGATGTCTGATCTGTTCCATAATTGATGGGGAAGTGCTTCTGAAGTGAAAAAGTCCCACCAAGTTTTCTCAGTTGCCTTTTCTACTCAGGAAATAATTTCAAAGCTAAAGCTCTGTACTGTTCTTCAGTTTGCTCAAGAAACGGTTTTTCCTCAGGAGGGGGTGATCCTTGTTTTATCTTTTCAACTTCAGACCTACCATTTATCACCACAAAGCAGCATTGTAAATGAAGTGAAACAAAAAAGATTGTCTGCTTACCAGATAAACTCTTAACTTGGGAACGATCTAGTACCAATTGATACCAAGCCAACCAGAAGTCCAAAAAAAGCCCAAATTAGAAGATTCTTCTACAGGTGGTCCTTAACTTACAACACTTCATTTAGTGAGTGTTCAAAGTTACAACTGACAAATGTGACTTATGACTGCTTTTCAGTTATAACCTGTGCAGCACCCCCGCGATCATGTGATCAAAATCCAGGTGCTTGGCAACTGGTCCATATTTATGACCATCGCTGTGTCCCGTGGCCATGTGATCCCCTTTTGCAACCTTCTGACAAGCAAAGTCAATGGGGAAGCCACATTCACTTAGCAACTGGGTTACTAACTTATCAATTGCAGTGATTCGCTTAACAGCTGTGGCAAAAACAGCCATAAAATGGGGCAAAACTCACTTAACAAATGCCTCACTTAACAACAGAAAATTTGGGCTCAATTGTGACTGTAAGTCGAGGACTACCTGTACAACGATGCAAAACTTTACCAAACAGAATCAACCACACTCTTACATTCGTAAATAAGCATGTTTCTATGTTATTATCTTTCTCTATTTTTAGGAGAGGTGGAGTAGAAGAAAGCGTAAATAAACTCCGCTATATGATATTCAAGAAAGGTAGTATAAGAGTTGGAAGTAAAAACAAGGGAGAAAATCAAGAGCAGAGCCATTGGAACAGACTTTCTGTAAAAAGGCCAAAAAAGAATTCATAACAGTACATTCTCATTCTCTCTTTTTTTAATAATGCTATTATTTTTAGACATGGCATAAACAGTAAGAATCGGGGGTAAAATATAATAAAAACCTAATTGCCAAGGCAAAGCATTTACTTCCTATGAAGCATGAGGCCTTTTTTCTCTCTCAAATTGTCTTATGCTTTTAAATGTACTTCAAGTCCCTTTTTGTTATTCACCGCCACACCTATGGAACATTGCGACCCAGTTGGTAGAAAGGATTACAATAGTGAACTGGAGATAGATGGTATGATATTTCAGTAGGAAATCCAGTACAGTACAAGATTTTGCTACTCCATAGATGAATTTCCTTTTCTATATTGTATGCAAAAAAATGCTGAATGTTTATCATACTTACCATTCAAGGTCCTTTTTTCTTCAGTTACAGGGAGACAAATTTCTGTAAAGTATGCAAAAAAATACTGTAGTGATCACAATAAAGAAAATCTCTTCCGATATGATACTATGTGGAAACATTCTGGGCAAAAAAAAAAGTGCCAAAAGCTTTATTCAAGAAAAAATAACCAAGAGTTGAATAGTAACCACACAAAATATCAGCTCTAAGAAATGTGAGAACTAAACTGAAGAGAAAGCTACTTCCAACGACATGAAGATGCTTCCTTCACAACAACTGCAATCATTTTAAGTGCATGAAACATGAGTAATGTTTGTGTCCATAAAAAGTATACTAGTATTACACTCTTAGCATGTAAGGTGTCATTTAGTGAATGACAAACACACTTGGCATCTACTGGAGGATACAAAATCGTGATAGCCAAACTGCACGAAAATTTCATTTACTCCATGGCTATGCCATTAGTTGGTATCTATGAAGGTGCGGAAACATTGGCTAAGATGATAGCTCATAGACAGTTTGTTGCACTGTGGCAGTATCACAAGAAACATCAATAGGACAGAGGTACAAAAATGAGCCATGAAATGAGCCCCCTTTCAAAGAAGATGAAGTCAAAATATATGGACATTTCAACATATGGGGGATCGGTGGCTTTGAGGGGGACTACAGCCTTACAAAGACTTGTGTTATTTGATTTATCCTCAAACAAATCAAAACTCCTCAAGGCTAATGCCACCAATTTAACTCTTTAATATCTCCTCCCCAATTATGCAAAACTAGAATCAAAATGTTCAACCATATCTATTCTGATGACGTCATTTTTCATAGTTCTTCCATCTCTTGAATAAAATGGAATGCAGTCTTTTATATCAACAGAGGGAGATGTAATGGGAAAAAGTGTCTAATGATTGTTTTTAAAAGCTTTTTATACTTTCTATCACCAATAAATAAATAAAAATATGATTTAAAAAGTAAGAAAAACTAAAAAGCAGCCTTTTAAATTGGGTTGACTCTACAAACCCCAGTAAAACCCATGACTGTCAGAAGCTGTGTACCCTCAACCTAAAACACAGCATTTAAAACACTGGTAAATTTTGACAACACTAGTGTGCAGCTGACTAGCGTGGAATGCACTATTATTCCTCCTAATGATAATACCAGCATCCAAAGACACAGATTTATGTGATTTGTTTATTTATCCTTAAAGCTACTGCACCACTCCAAACACAGCAGGAAGGCACAAGGGGAAAGATTGCACAGAACTGCTTTGGAACAAGGACCGGATGCAGAGCAAAACAATTAAAGGGAAAAGCAGCCACCAGCTGGGGGGAAAATGAACAATAATCACTCACAACCCTAGGAATTGTCTAGGAAACCTAGTCCCTGAATCTTAATTTAATCGTGTAAAAGTTGGGCAAAACTGGCTTGTTTTATAAGCTGTTTGTGCTGTTGTTAATGTCTCCCAACACATGATTATGATTCTGATGCAAATAAGTCATTATTCTGCTAGGTCAAATATCCATTCTACATTATCCAGAGCAGTGGCCCCCAACCTTTTTTGTGCCGTGGCCCGGTACCGGCATCACAAAATCATCCGCGGCCCGGTACCAGCATCACAAAATCATCCGCGGCCCGGTACCGGCATCAGCACGCATGGCAAGGCGAGCCGAGCGACCGGCCAGCCAGCCGTCCCCCGCTTCTCCCCGCCACCTTCAACTCCTCCTTTGTACCTGTGTCGATGGGCTTCGTGACGGCTTTGGGACGGTCGCTCGGCTCGCCTTGCCATGCGTGCTGAAAGAATCCTTGCGCCTTAATTTTGTTCGAAGCCCCCCCCCCCAATGAAACTAAGGCGTGAGGATTCTTTCAGCACCCAAACGCCGCTTTCTACCCGGAAAAGCTCACTGGAAGCACTTTTTCATCAAAACAAGATGGTGGCACCCAGCAAACCAGCAGCCCAGTAGAAATTGTTCCACAGACCGGTACCGGTCCGGGGACCGGTGGTTGGGGACCCCTGATCCAGAGAGTGTAAACTGGACAGCAACAGCAAAATTCAGTGTTTGAGAGATTTCTCTAAATTGATTAGATAATCAGTTTTAAAGAAGACAAAGATGTCGACAGAATGTTCACAGGATAAGTAGCATCAACTTCAAACACATGGGTTTCTTATTACTGAGTGGGGGGGAAACATTCATAATTTCACATCGTGACATTTAAAGATGCTACATAATTATGAAACATGAAATATCTCTAAGCCAGCAAAACCCTCTTCCATGATGTTCAAATGCTGCAGGTTAAACATGTGTTCATACACATCTGCAGGAAGAAGTATTTCAGAACCATCCACTCTTCAAAAAAAATCAGGGGTTAAGGAATTAATTTGAAATCAACTGTTAGTAAAACATGACATTGGCAGCAACACACATGAATTTATGCCTCAGCTCTATGAAACTGTAAACGATTGCTCAGAAAGTTGGTTTTGATGCACAAAGCACCTTGGAAGCAAGTACTCATATGTTTGTGCATTATGAGATCTGTCTTTTGTTTTTCTTTGCTAACCTATAGCAACCGACTGAAGCAATGTAGCCACAACTCAGTTCTTTACCAGCAATAAGGTACTATGATGTACTTCTGTAAAAGTCATTTCACAGCTACTGCACAAAAAAGTCACAAATACGGAGACATGTTAGCTTTCCATATTCTCCCTAGAAATGATCAAGTCATAGCTTACACACACACACACACACACACACACACGTCATGTATAATATATTGAGTATAGATAAATTATGACTGAAGAAACTGATACTTTTCCAAAAGTTATGGTCATACTGAAGTATTTTATCCCTAACAATATCCATTATCCTTCTCCATTCTAAACAGCAAAAAAAAAAAAATCTTTTAAAATCTCTGACATACCGTATATACTCGAGTATAAGTCGACCCGAATATAAGCCAAGGCACCTAATTTTACCACAAAAAACTGGGAAAACTTATTGACTCGAGTATAAGCCGAGGGTGGGAAATGCAGCAGCTACTGGTAAATTTCAAAAATAAAAATAGATACCAATAAAAACTTTCACTAGGACAGTTGAGAATAAGTTTGATGTTCACAATTTCCTCTTTGAAAGAGACCAGTAAATAGGGAACAAGAAGATGAAGAAAAAGAAGTGTGTTTTTTCACACTTTTCACACTGCAGTGAACAAAAATGGCATCGTAGGAACAGGCTTATTCTCAGTCCAAAGGTTTTTTTGTGATTTCTTCCCTGATTTAAGGGAAAATTGGGAAACGATATCACTATCATGAAAGGTTTAATTGATTCACTAACCCAAAAGAAGATGATGACGACAGTG